CGTTAGTACATATATATTTTAGTCTTAATAATTTGCATTTTATCTAATTTTAGTTAACTTCAAAAAAGAAGGAGGTTCTCAATTAAACTATTTTGTATGTATTTTACGCGATTGCTTTGTTTGTGAACCGATTATGATTATCCTATTTGTTGGAAAGAGGGTAACTCAGTATTGGTCACATTTAAATTTGAAGAAAATGTTCCACCTCTAAGGGTGGCAAACTGGGAGACAAATTCTGTTTTGCTCACTTTCCGGTAACCGATTTCAATAAAATTTGGCAAATAGATGTAATTATTATTAAATAAATTTTGAGGTCTGTTTTTTTTATAAGTTGTAATTATCTAATTTAATATCAATAAGTATTTATAATAATATTGAAAATTAATATTATTCTGTATTCAGCTTAGCTGAATACCATCTCTATCCCATTTGATCGTTTTTGTAATCGTTGTTAGAAAGTATGTACATAAAGGTATACGAAAATAATAAACAATATTTATTGACGTAGTACGTCCCCGACCTGGTTTTATACAAAAGTTTTCAAACTTGCAGAATCGTGTTCAAACTTTAGTATTTCATTCTAAAATGGGAATGTGGTGTGATCAATAGTAAGGTTTCATTTGTGGTAATAAAAAAATCCAATACGATTGAGCTCAAAATGAATGAGACTTACCTAAAACTCAACACGCAAAAATTTGTAAAGTAATTAAATTTACCACAATCCTGTTAGACCAGCCACTCATCTTTTTTTTCATTTTTCAGCCATTACTTTCCCCTAGGCCAAGACCTCATATACGCGTCCAATTCGTCGTGCCATCTCGTTCTGGATCTTCAACGACTTCGTCTTGCGTTTGGTTCGATCCACTCCGTGGTGGTCTTTGCCCACAGCTCGTTTGACATACGGCTTTATAACCAACGTCAACGAAGTGTGTTTTGGTGCGCAGTATGCTGATTCGCACGCGGTCTGACAGTTTTACTTACAAGATACTGTCCAGCTAAAGTCACATAAATATTTTAATAGAAAACACTAATATTTGGAAACGAAACTGCAAAATCTTTTTCGAGAAAAAACCATCTGAGACAGATCACTAATGTATTTTGTTCAAGACAATGGTAATAAAATAATATTAGTAGGACGTTAATTTTATGCGTTTTTCTAATAGGCATTGCGTGGGTGTAGCTTTTATCTTTGACTAAAGTTAATTGATGTTAAAAATAGCTAGAACACATATCGTGTCCATTTCTATTGTTTTGGTTTTTGTTTTTGTCTTTTGGTAGTTAGTATAAATTCTCCTATTTCAAATGCCAGGGTAAATATGTTTCGACTTTATGACAATACTAAAGCTGTTCATTTTCTATTTAGGGAGTTTTTTTAATATTGTGTACAGAACCGTGACGTAAACAACGTCACAATTATACTGAAATTATAATTTTTGTTCTAGTAATTTACATTACAAAGAATCTATTAGAAGAAAATATATTTGTTTTTTTAATGTGCAGTCACACGAATTCTATTAAAACTGCTTTGGCACGGTATGTAAAGTAGCAGATGGACTGCGTTGCGACTGTATTACAATGAAAGTAGATTAGATGCAATTGAATCGACTGAACGTTGCTCTCGAATTGCGATTATATTAGATACTACGTACTATAGGTTGCTAGTATAGCTGGCATACGTTGTAGATTCATGATCAAATGCAGCGTGTGTATGTCCTCTACGCTACCTCCTACCTACCTCTACATTACCTTTAGTGAAATTAGTACAGATACAACACGTATTCATACAAACGTATGAAATTATTCGTTGACCTTTAGAACGATACGTTTACTATGAATTTATAAAGTACTACAACAATGTAAATTGTTGGCCTTGTAAAATGAACCTCACTAATTTTTCCACGTATTTGTTGCAGGTTTTTGTTTTGGTTTACGACGACTATCGACTTTTTGCCGTAGAGTACTTCCAAAGTGAAAAAAAACTTTCATAGATTTGTTACAGATGGCGTTACGTCAAAAAATCGTTAAAAACCAAAACAAAGATCTGCAACAAACCCGTGGAAAAATTCGTTAGGGCCGTTGGTTCGTTCCGTCCCTTAGTTGGCATTGCGTCTGGCACGATTTGCTGAGAGACGTTCATTCGAATCCAACCGGATCGAAGTGAATTTTTTACGTTACGTTTTTTACGTTAATTTTTACGTGTTCGATTCGTTTAATAATTACAAAAAATTTGGTATTTCACGTGATCGCTACTGACTTTCAACGTTGTAAACACATGTTTTTTTACCTGAAATTGAATTTCTGTACTTAATTAGTTTCGGCCAGTAGATAGTGAGTCAGCTGCATTTTGGAATGCAGTGGCTAATTAATTTACCGCGCTTGTGCGGCCACGAGCGCCACGGCAGGTCGGATGGGCTTAAATAATGCGACAACTTGACGCCGCTCCCGCTACAATTTGCTGAGTCATGTTGGACTTTTAACCCGTGGTAAAAAGTAACTTTTTCCATTCGTTGCTGGAATTGTTGTTTCTTAACAATAAAGTGTGCGTGATACTTTATTCAATTGTAATAGTGCTGAAAGCTATGAGAATTGTGCCAGGAGTGACGCTAGTGAACAAATCACGGACAGTGTGATAAGAGAGTGTTGCGGCACGAATGAAGATGTTGTGACAAAGATAGAAAAAAGGATGCTTACATGGTTCGGACATGTAGAGACAATGTATATACATTCCTTGTTTAGGTAATTTATTTCTTTTTTAACCGATAAAAAAGGAGGAGGTTGTCTATTTGACTGTTTGTTTTTTCTTTTTGTATGTATGTTACGATGAATTGATGATTCTTTTTTTCTTGGGTACCTCAGTAGTGTTCCCATTTAAATTTGAAGAAAATATTCCACCCCTGAGGGCGGCAAAATAGGGAATTAATGACTTTTGAGGTCGGTTTTTTAGTACTCTGTACTGATTTTCTTTTAGAACCATGGTAGTAATGATTTGAACTACTGTCTCTCAAACAGAGGCCGTGAGTTCGATGGAACTCGGGCCTGAGTTAGTAATTTGAAATTTGCCTTGGCCGGTGAAACGTACAAGTCGAAGATGATTCACAAACCTCGTAAAAAGTGTTAAGTCCCCAACCCGCATTGAGTCAGGCTAGCAGATAGCCTAAGCCTTTGCCTGAGAAGAGACCCGTGCCCAGTAGTGGGACGAATAAATGGGTTGATGATGATATACGCGTGTATGTATGAATTTGTTAAGAAAAAAATTCTTAGATTTTTATTGAATTGATATTCAATATGACGCTTAGTTTAGCTTAGCTTTGTTGGTATAGCGTCTGCCACGGTATGTTAGAAGACGTCGGTTCGAATACGGCCGGATCGAGGGAATTTTTTCTGAGTGTTCGATCTTTGTATTAATAATTATAACAAACTAGTGGAGTAATTTCACAAAAATAATTGAATATCAATTCAATAAAAATTTAAAATACAGTGAATAGCGATATCTCTCACCAGGGCCGATAGCTGTAAAGGTATCTAACTGGGTGATAAAACTTTCATAGATTTCTCATATTTGGCGCTACGACTAAAAAGTCGTTGAAAAACCAAATACAAAGACACGACAACAAGCACATAGAAAAATTCGTGAGGTCCGCTGGTTCGTTCCGTTGCTTAGTTAGTATAGCGTGTGCCACGGTATGCTAGAAGAGGTCGGTTCGAATCCGGCCGGATCGAAGGAATTTTTATTTCATTTCTGGATGTTCGATCTTTGTATCTTTAATAATTATAAAAAAATTCTTGTTTCTTTCAAGGACTCCTGACCTCTCTTAAAGGTTTTATTATTCGTCAAAGTGCTTGGTCGTAGTAAGATTATGTTTACTCTTACTATATTTGCAATGGCCAATTAATGTATACGGTGCACTATGTGACCACGGCCACGTTCAGGGCGAGCATAAATAATGCGACAAGCCGACGCCACCGCGCCGGCACCGCCGCACCCTCTCTACAAAGCAAGGCTGTGTGTGTTTCCTTCCTTTCTTTTGTATTCTTTCAAGTTATTTGCTACGTAATTGGGTGTTTTATTTTGGTTACGAACTAACAACGTCTTCCAAGATATATTATTAATATTTACAAAAACAGTTACAGTCTAAGTTTATTTTATGGTTTTGTGAAATAAATTAATGGGTAACAATGGCTTCAAACAGTCATTCGTTTCTGAAAAAACATTGTTGATGTTTCGTTTTCAATTTTCATTCTCAACCTTCTTATTTTTACAGTCCATTAAAACCAATCGTAAAGTGGTTATTTACGTGCTTAAACAAATAAAGCGAACACCATAAAAATGAATTACTGTTAGCAGGTTCTTATAATAACTGTAAATTTGCATTATAAGCAGTTTTTAAACATATAGTAGATCAATGTAATTGCTAGCACCTTTATAGTCTCAATTATTATTCTAAAAAAACTGAATGTACTACTTATTAATTTACAAACCTATGTTATTGTTTATAGCACCGTAATCCGTAAAGTATAAGGATTTTTATTACACTTTTTTTTCTATCGACATTGAAACATCATTACGTGCGTGACAGTTGATTTAAACACTGTTGTAGTGAGTTATACTATATTGATTGCTTATTGGTCTCGACGCAAGGTTACGGTAGAAAATGATAAGTCATGCCTCTATCAGGAAACACCCCGCTGTAAGGCCACCCCAACATTCCCCCCTTACTAAGCCTGTACTTTGATGTATCCGTCCCCTCCAACTGTCATGCACAAGTTACATTTCCCACGTTTGCACCCGATCTTTTTCATTCACGATCCCTGTTGCTACACCAACCATAATTCTGAATAGTTTATTGCTTAATGCTCCTCTAATAAAACAAGTTTTTTGTTTGTAAAGTTATACATTTTTATTTTAAGCTGCAGTTTACAACTCTTAACAATTATGCAGTTTCCTTGAAACTTATGTTTTGTAATACTATTACTGTATGTACATTTAAAACTCAGACAGACGATTACGCATTCCATACACTTAACTTTTTGCTATGTTAAAACAGACTTCTTTGAAGTACAAGAGCCGAACAAGTACTGGTTTACCCACAAAACAATGAATAGGGGTTTACCTTAGCTGAAAAAAGTAAGTATTTAACTAAATTACATTTCTTTTTACACGTGATAAAATACTTTTGTAAAAATTTCATCTACACAATTAGTTTTTAAATACCTATAGTAAATAACAGTAACGCCTATCTATAATACGCAAGAGAATCACTGACAGCTATGTATTCACCAAAAACCAGAATGAGTGAGACTAATGATCATGGAGAAGTCAGTCTTTACCTCATTAAATTAAAATGAGAAGACAAAACTAAACTTGCATGTGCGATGCGTCTAAAGCGTATATATTCCGTGAATCTGGAGGCCATAAGCCAGATTTGCTCGTAGTTAGTTCTATTTTCCCCGTGTTGATTTTTTTGATCAATCGTCCCAAATGCTCCTTGTCGCTGCTCGCTGTGATCGATAGGAACGTGTTCCAACAGTCCTTTCCGCTCCACAAGACCGTTGTTCGCAGGTCTCGTTGCCCCTTGAGGAATGCGAACGTGAAGTCCTCTATTCCGGTATCAACGAACACATAAATTGTGTTTTTCGCCTTCAACATTTCACCGCGAATCTTTTTTATGTTCACATATCTGTATTGTGACGCTAAGTAGTTAGGGGAGAATATGACAAGGGTAGTGTACATCTCTTTGACGGGACTTATAAAAGTTTGTTTGGTATTCTGGTCGCTGCTGCTTATAGCGTTCACATGAATCTCATTTTTCAAATAATGTCTCATTCCGGGCAGAATTTCATTAAGGACAAATTCTTCGTCCATGTCCAGATATTCAACTACTATACCCCTTCCAGTATTGTTAGTAGGATTCTGTTGAGACATATTGTATAGAGTTTTCTTCAAAGTCAAGGAGACTTGTTTTCTCAAATCAAAGTAGATAATAGCAAGAATTGTCAGGAATGTGACGAATACTGTCACAATGATGGCTAAAATTACGATTCTCATCGAACAAGTACCACTTGCCCAGAAGGGACAATCTAAGTCTTGCAAGTCAACGACCTGAGAACAAAGCAAACAGCTTTTTAACAAACGAAGAAAGATGGTAAATGGAATACAATTGTTGATCCCTTTGCACAAAAAACGCAAGAGAGAACTTAAATAAAAATCTAAAAAATACAACAGACCTTTGTGTTCATGTCGTCTTGTAGAAAATCTATAAACTCATTATTCGTACATCGACATTGGAATACGTTATGAGAAACCCATACTTCTTTCAATGGTTTTTTAAATATTTTCCTGTATCCGTATTTGGCGGTTGAATTTTCATCGTCCTGAAATAAATAAGAAAATACATTACGTTTAATGTTTAGACTTCATTTCCTCTTTATCGTTCCCATTATGTTCAGGAGCTCAGCAAAAGTAACCTCGTAAATGGATGCTTTGGAGTTAATAATGCTTACCCACAAAGAAGATATAGAATTGTAGCTAATATCCAAAATGTCATGACCGTTTATCCACCAGTCTTGCAAAATATGCTTGAAATTATTATGGCTCAAATTCAGCAGTCTCAAATTATATGTATCAGCAAATGGTGAAACCCTGTTCACAATCCATGAATTGTTATGCAGCTCTCTATTTTCGAAACTCAGTTCATTGTACGCTAGAGAAATAGACATTCTCTGTCTGTTATTGCTGAATAAGTAGGATGATATTGTCCTTAGTTTGTTGTGTTCCATATTGAGATCCAGTAAGCTTAGTAAAGGTGAAAAAGTCGACCTGTAACAACGTCACTTTATAAGAATTTAAAAAATCTACACGAAGAGGCTATTTGGTAAATGCGTTCAGTTATTTACGGTTATCGCTTCATGAAATTTATGTATATTGTGCAGATTCTTACCCAGATATTTTCACGAGTTCATTGTAACATAAATTGAGTTTCTCTAATCTTACAAGCGACGAGAACAGTTTCGGTTCCAAGTTCCTTAAGTTGTTGTGACTCAAGTCTAGCTCCAATAAATTGATCTGGTCGTTGAAGATCGATTCTGGTAACTTCTCTAGATCATTGTAAGCTAATGATATGTTTGTGATCTGAGGAGAATTTGCGAACAAATCGTACGGTATATTAACTAAACCACATCTTTGGATATATATTTGTTTTAAGTTCGGCAAATTCCCAAACAAGTTCTTTGGAAGATCCTTCAATTCGACGTCATTGTTCAGAATAACAACAGTCTCTAAATCATCATTACTTTTGAACAAATTTTGTGGCAATGACGAGAATTTATTCGAAAATAAAGTCAGCTTCTTCAATTTCTTTAAAGGCTTAAAAATCGATGAAGGCAGTTCATTCAACCCATTGGAGCTTAGATCTAATTCCTCGAGTACATTTACCCCAGTAAAAAAGTCCTTAGAAAACCAAGTAACGTTGCTTTGCCACAATGATAATTTTCTCAAGAATGATAAATGTGAAAATAAATTTGAAGATATATTGGTCATGTGGTTGTGGCTTATTTCTAAGGTTTCCAGCCTTTCAAGCGGCTTAAATAATTGTTCTGAAAGATTTATGCTATTCGAGCGTATGTTTAACCAAGTTAGCTTATTTATGTCCATGAATAAATTGTCCGGTAAATGTGTGATGCCGTTAACTGATAGTAATAGTTTTGTAAGATTGTGCAATCCTGTAAAATGTTTTCTGTCAAAATACCCCGACAGATTCTTTGCATTTTGGAATATCAACGCCATAGTCTTCGATACCCCTATGTTTGTTAAAACTTCTTGGAAGGAAGTAGATGGTAAGGGACAGTCTTTAAAACTGACTGACTTGAATGTGTTCATCTTATTGGCACATTTTGGTAGTTTGTTGTAGTCGAGAGTTGTTGCATTTTTACACTTTATATTTATGTATGTATTGGGTAATAAGTTTATCTCTACTATTCGCCCTGAAACAAGATTGTGGATTAAAATATTGAAAACAACAAAGTAGAATGGATGTTGGGACATTGCATTCAGTGTAGTAGTAAAAATCCAATTGTTCTAAGGAGTACTTCACAAGTCAGCTACGAGTTATAAAACCGAGTAGATCGAGACAGAGCATCGAGCGATAAATTTCAAGTAGGTACTTTTAGTTGGGTGTAAAACGGTAGAGCACTGTGGAACGTGAGTGTCAAAGTGCACTTACCATCGATGTTGCAATTGAGTTCGAGGGCGAGCGTGCCGCCACAAACGCAGTTAGGGTCACTCGGACACATCACTCGCGCCGCTCCAATTACTTGCAGTGCAAGCGATGCGGCCACCATGTATGCTGCCAGTGTGTGACCCATTGTTACATGTGACGCTAATCCTGTTTACTTTACTAATCCTCTCAAGCTAACCCCGACGCGTAACGTGACTGTTCCAAACTTTCCAGTTCTTCCTCCCATCTTCCTGCTTATTCAATCTGCGAACAAAAGCGGCCTTTTGTAAACTTTATTAAGATACGGAAGTGAACTTATTCGCGAACGTCACTTTCCATTACGATAAAGTTTCATTTGATGTCTTTAATGTATCACTTGCAATTTGTGTAGTGAGTGACGCAAAACCATTTGTGATTTTACTTAACTTTTGTAATTTACTTAATTGATTTCAGTATTATAGATTAAATAATATTTGACTTGCTAAAGCACATATAAGTTGTTGTTCTTTCATTAGTTACTTAAAAGCTGTTTGTTATATGTACACTTATTTATTAATTTTTTTTGTTTGTTTTGTTCGCTTTTAATGTTAATTATAATTTGTTGTTGAGTCTGTTTTTTGACCGACTTCAAAAAAGGAAGAGTTTATCAATTTGACTGTATTTTTTTTGTACGTACTCTCGCATTTTTTAAGCCTATTTACATCCCACTTGAAATGACACTACAGTGGCTAGTATAATCAACAACAACATCAACAATTCACACGCTCATAGCCTCAGATTAGGGAAACCTTTTATCGCGCATGCCGTGGACATATACAAATAAATGTAGGCCATACAAATATTTCTCTCGGCCCGGGAATCGAACCCGTGACCTCTGCATAACAGTCTAGCATGGTAGCCGTTCGGCCACAGAGGCAGTTGATATGATGATTATTTTTTGTTGGAAAGAGGGTACCTCAGTAGTGGTTTCATTTAAATTTGAACAAAATATTCCACCTCTAAGGTTGGCAAACTATGAATGACTCTTGAGGCCGGTTTTTTTAGTATTTTGTACTGAGGTTATCTTTTTTTATTATTTAATGTTCTTAGGTGTGATTGTGGAAAGACATTAAGCGTTTTATTTATCTCCTTGAGACCACGTTACTGATTGTCTTGTACATTATTTTGATTTATTAACATAACGTTTATGCATTGAAGATGGTGCAGTAGGTATGATATTTTAGTTATTGAAAAAAACCAATGAACTGAGCAATCGGATGCACAGTCGAGTTTGTTCTGCCAGTGCCATGGAATCGATTCAGCTATTCATAGTTTACAGCACAAAAAGCGCTGCGATAAATTGCTGCAGCTGCAATATAATGGAACTGTCTGACTGATTACATGGTATAAGTATTTGCGAACAGTGCTTTAACGTAGTTCATTGTACTTATTTTTCAATAATTATTTTGTATACGGTTTTATAAATCTTATTTTATTTTACTGGTGGAAAATGTTATATTTCTCCTCTTCTACTTATTACAATTTAATCGTCACATAATCTAATTAAATTTGATGTGATTTTAAAAGAAATTATTCAAAAATATGACTCCAATTTCAGTCAGTCCACAAAATGGACCAACCAAATTCAACACAGGGACGTAACGGGGACATTGTCAATGCAAATGCGGGCTTTTGTTTGTAACGTTTAAGCGAATGGGCGGAACGGAAATCGTTTCTCTTACGCAAACTGAATGCGGTCTATACCCACTTCACTAAAAATAACTAGAACTTTGTTTGCTTACAAACGTTAATGGAAATCCACATTGAAACGTTAGAATAGTATTTTACTTTACTCTGAAATCATTTTGTGTTGCAAATATACATACTATCAAGTCTATCTTCTATTGTGGTAGGCAGAGACTACGGACTCTCACTTACTATGTTCCTAATATATCTCTATCCTTTCCTCCCGTGTGGAAACTGAGGTTGTATATAACTTAACATTAACAAAATATATGGAATATTGTACAGTTATCACATACACTTCGGTAAAGTAAACTAGGTGTAACATATTGTTTTTTAAATAATATCACATGGGAAATCAATAACTTATAAGGTTGTATTTTGGGTCAACTATTGTAAAGTCGTCTTCTATCTGATTACGATAAATATTTACGCCAAAGTGAACCATTCCTCATGTCTTCCTCCGTATTGGTTCTATAAATTTGGGTCATTATTCGTTGTCCTTTTCTATGATAGAAGTGACGGGACGAACAAGTCATGCGCTTGGTGTCATGCGCTTGGTGATAAGCGATATGCCAGTCTATAAAAGTTGCAGTGCTGCTCAGAATTTTAAATCGCTAAGATCTGAGGCGCACTACCACTGCGCCTGTCACCCTGAGACATAAGTTGACAAGTCCTAAGTGCCTGTAATTTCAGCGCCCTACTAAACCAAAACGCAGTAAAGATACACTTGTTAACCGTTAACCGACAAACGTATATGAAAGCACTGATATGCATCACTGCTTTCATATACATTTATTATTATAGAGCATTTGTTGGTAAAGCGAAAAATGCGTATTAGGGTTCTTACTCTCGAAGCACGAAATCCACAGCTAAGGCCGTTTTCTCACTATGGAAAACCTACGGGACTACTCAAGGAAAAGACGGATCCGTTCGAAACTGTCATATTGCGTCGTCATACATTCTTAGTTCTACCTCCGATCGAAACTCAAGGCTGTAGATCATCCATAGAGGGAAAATGGCCACAGCTACAGACTTCTGCTTCGAGAGTAGGGCCCCAGAACTGTAACAAGTGGAAGGTTGTTGCCTCTGTTTACCCCGATAGGAAAAGGGCGTGAAGGTTGTGTATGTATGATACTTTTGTGTTTGGTTGGATTTTGTACACTTCTTACGACGCATCTAAGACTGCTACTATGATTCAGCTGTTATGAATAGAAAATAATAACAAATATTTCACAAATGGGAAAGGAACGTGAAATGAATAATAACAAATAAAATAAAAAACCAATTTCTTTGTGAAATTAAGAAAAAATGAGTCACACTCTACATATTTTTCAACTTGTAATTCGATGTATAAAGTTGGTTTACGGTTAAATTAGTTACACTGTGCCAATAACCAGTTATCTCGACCCGCAGAATTCCGACGTCGTTCCGATTATTATTTTTCAATTATCGGTACAATGATTTGTGCTCAGTATATTTTAATTAAGAGGAATACGAAAACAAACGAAAATAACAATGTTCATATTTGTATCGCATTCATCTGAAACGCTTGAGCATTTACATTACAATTACATTTTATTTACAGTAAAATAAAATATTACATGATTGGGAAAACAATGTCGTTAAAGTAGCGGTGGTCGACGGTTTGAATCTCCGACACGGCATGTACAGGATATCATTTATTTCTAAGTTTTGTGTTTGTTTAGTAACTATACCTTTTTTCAACCATAAAGTAAAACGTTGTCATGAAACCTGCTTGAATTTGTAAAGTACTCAACCTGGGTTGGGCTAGGGTGGCGAACTATGATCTAAAAACCTCTCCATAGAAGATGTCCGTGCATTGCGCCTTATAAAATAGGTTGATGATGATGACGATGGAAAACTTATAACAAAACTTATTCTAGTATACAAGAAAATAATCGCAGCTGAGCTGGCGAAAAGAATAAAAAGTAATAAGTACTAGAACCTCGGCTCCCACCACCTATTTATAGCATTTAGAGTCGAAACCCATGGCCCGTGTGGTCCTGGCCCTTCATTTAAAAGAGCTCGTCCAGGGAAGTACTGCCACGTTTCGGTTTTGAAAGGTAAGGGTGCTATGGTCAAATTACAGGCACATGGACAACGTGGGTCTTTGGGTAACAGGCGTAGTGGCAGTGCCCCTCAGATCTTTGCGATTTAAAGCTCTATGCGGCATTGTAGCTGTTATTGACAAGCGTGACGTCTACCAGCAGGCGCACAACTTGTTCGTCCCGTCACTTGGTGTCTCGGTATATACAAAATATGATCTGTGTGTAACTAGCGACGGTAGTATAATTAGAATGCCTTCCATTTTTAATTATTCTTCGATTTCAGATGGAGGTATTAAGCATTATATTGCATAATACTTGAAGTTTAATTAAATATACTCTGCCTGTTCCAATCTCTGTTCATTACGCCAGCTTAATATGGATTGGGAATTTCAAATGTCGATAGCGGTATGTTCATGTTCTATATTTAGTATGAAATACGTGGCATAAATGTTATCAAATTCAACGAAAAATTGTGTGTTTGGTTGTACAACGACTATATGTAATTAAGGGCATTAGGTCGCCACTAATGGCGGCAATAATCTTAATGTTCTGGTCTATTCTAGAAGTATCTGATTACTGAAGGAACTA